GTTAGTGTTAGACCCTCGGAGTGAGGATGCTAACACGTCGAGAGGCACACCCCAAAGACTCAGAGTCCAGACCAGCTGATGCAAAAGCAAGAGGATTTATTCGGCGTCTGTGCAGACGGGCCTCCTGAACTCAGGAGTCCAGAGAGTGCCCCCAGCACAAAGCCACACGGTTTATATACCCACAGCGACCAATCAAAAGCACTATAGAGTCCGTGCACACAGCAGTCCAATCCGAGAGCTGATCATGTGAAGGGCATGCGTCTTCTACCCAATCAGCTACGGGACCACATGGGAGGCCATGCACACAGCAGTCCAATCTGTGAGCTGATCACGTGAAAGGCATGCACCTTCTATCCAATCAGCTACGGGATCACATGGGAGGCATGCACCATGTTGCCATTTTGTTGTTTACTTCTTTAGTAGTTCCTTTCCCTTCCAGCGCCATCTTGTTCACCCAGAGGGGGACAACATCTCACTCCCTTTGTTCCCCTGGTGGGAGAGCAGCATCCTGCTTCCCACACCGTTATTTGAGTATTAGGAGGCATACAAACTGGGTTAGGTCTTAGCACAACCAGGCACAAATGTCGCAGCTAGCTAAGCATAGTGTCCCTTATTTTTATAGCTGCACCTAATTTTAGCTTTGGGGGAAAAAGTTTAGGGCTGTAATTTTTAAACTTTAATTTTATTTGGGGCAAAGGTAACTTCTTGTTTTTAATGGTATTGGCTTAGGTCACTCCACCTTGGTTTGATTTTTAAGGTTCTTCAGTTAGCAATAATGAATGTAAAGCACCTGGCACAGATGTTTACCTTATAGTAGATAGCTAGATAGTAGCTATCATTGCTCAAAATAAGTTGGAGTTGTGATCATGAGTCTAATTCCACTTCGCTCTGAATGGTCTTATGAAAAATTTCCCTCATCTTCACTCTGCTTATTCAACATAATTATCAAGAAAGCTCATGTGCTACAACTTTGTGTGCATGGAGTGTCAATTCCCTTTCTGGATACTCTGATAAGGCAGAATGATTAATTCTGGGATGCTCTGTTTTGTGTACTGCACTCCAACCTTGTAAAACGTTAGGGTTAAATCAGAGCTGGATAGGTGTTTTGTAAGCTGGCCAGTTGAGCCAGTCTCATATTTGGCTCAGCTGAAAGAAATTGCTTTAGGACATCTTCCCCTGCTGCTCTTTCATTTGTTTAGAGCAGAAGCAGTCAGTCACATACTAGAGAAGTCTAATAAAAAGTGACAGTTACGCGTCCCGTTTGGTACTCATGATTAAGGTAAATATTCATGTTTCCCATTTAGTTGGGTTCTGAGCTGTGCAACTTTGACTGTATGGGTAAGTTATAGATCCCATAACCCTCTGCTGTTTCCTTGAGGTAAGAAGGTAAGAAACAAGACCAAGTTTTGAGACTAGGGTAGCATCCAACAAAAGAAAAAAAAATCCCAGAGAAAGAAAACTGGAAGCTTCTTTCACCCCTACTAGAGCGTTAGAAAAATAAACAGAGCAAATGTTGTTAATCCTATTCCTGTTTTGTGTTTTTGGCTATTTAAGAGATAAAGCAGTGAATCCAATGAGGCCAAAAGCCATTTTCAGCCTCACAAGTGATCCATTTATTTTGCTAGGATGTGAATCAGCAGGATATCTCAGCATGCTATGTAGTATAATCCTATCCATAAAATATTCCTCCTTGTTCCACCAGAGAGGTGGTGGACATCTCTAAGGCCAGCTCACCAAGTTGGCGGCTGATGTCCCATCTTATTCAAAGCTGGTAAGTCCTACACCCAGACAACCCCCCACATTCCCTGGGGAGGAAGAAAAGCTCAATTTAGATAATCCCCCCCTTGCAAAGTGTATTAGCTAATCCAAACCAGACCTGACTACAGGCATGCTGTTCCTGTTTTAGAGATGCCCCAATATAGAAATAGCTTCTTGTTGCACTCGGAGGATTAAAATTCAAATAAAGAAGAGGTAAGGAGGACCAATAAATAATTTTGAAAAATATAAATTGTTTAACTTTGGCTCTCTCTCCACTTAAACAGGGAGGGCTCATTGCTTGGTTGTGCTAGAAAGAGGTTGGTAGACCTTCCCTCATTTCACTGAGCACAGGAAAAAAAGGAAGTATGCTAAGTGTCACAAATGAGTATTTCTGATATGTACAAAGAAAACCACTTCCAAACAGTGCTTCGTGCCTGGTTACATAACAGATGATCCGCCAACCCTCCATGTGCATGCCTGACCCCTCAGGAGGAAGCGAGGCAGTTAACTGAAGTGATACAACACAACCAGGAGGTGATACCCTAGCAACCACACTTGAGGCAATGTCATACTGAAGGGATCAAGGTCAAAAAAGAAAGGGGTACAGAGTAGGATATAAGATGTATGTACATTCTTCTCAGCACTGGAAAGAAATTAACTTCTAACTAAAACATAATCCCTGAATTCACTCTGAAACGTCTATATTGCTAGAAAAGAAAATTGTTATAATTCTGAAAATATTACCATATGTAATAAATGGTGTGAATTACAAATGTAAGAAAACCTTGGTTTTTCTGAAGAAATTAGAATTAGCCAGAATAAATTCACATCTTCAGCAGAAAGCATTCCTGTGCTTGGGAGATGCCCTGACCCAGAGTGGAGTTCTTAAGGGCTCACAGTCTGACCCAGTTTTACTGATGGAACAGAGAAAACTACTTTTAAAGAGTTGCCTTTTAAAAGTAATCTTTTAAAAGAGAGAATTTTGTAGTAGCTGTTATTACTAGATGCTTTATCAAACATCAAAAATCCAAAGTAATCTAGAGTTAAGGTAATAGGAATATATTAAAAACAACAAAAAAGAATGAAATGAATATGAGAAGCATGGTGGGAAGGAAGGAGAGAGGGAGGGAGGGAGGGAGGGAAGAAGTAGAGATGGAGAGAGGAAAGGAAGAAGGAGGGAGGGAGAGAGCTGCATACCAGTTATACCTAAGAGTAGGATTTGTTTTTGTAGTTACGCTTGAGATACTTCAGACCCCTCCATTCATTGTATAGTATCCTGACAGCTGAGTGCCAGATACTATAGACCAAGAACTAATGTACATATTAGTAAGATGCTAATTGAAGAATATAAATTCATGCTGCTAAAGTTTTAATAATAAATATTAGGTAGTAACATCAACAAAGGGTGAATTAAGACTACCCTAAGTAATACATATAAAATGAAATATCATGCCGTTTCTAAGAAGGCTATGGGTAATATTTGTTATTAGTACTAAAAGATACCTCCAAGGAAAGCAGGCTGAAAAGCAATGTGTAGAGTATAACATAACTTTTTGCGCAAAAATATATTTGTATATAATATGCAGCAAAATACACAATGCTTTGTAGGACAGCGGTTTTTAATTTTCTTTTGGGTACTTGTTTTTCTTTTCCTACAAGAAATGTGTGTTATTTGTACAATTATAAAAACAAAAAAATAAGAAAACAAGGTAAATTGTCATTGTTTTAGTTATTCATGATTCCTGGACAAAGCTTTCACAATAGCACCTGGACATAAATGACTAAATGGGGTTTACTTTTAGTGACCCTAAATCCTAGGATGGTTGAAGTAACCATGTACATGTACACGTCTGGTTACTGTGAATCTGCAGTAGGATAAATGTTACTGTTGAACAGGTTTTTAATTCCAGAACATTTCATCGTGCCGCCAATCCAGGGTCAAGTCCTGTCACGTTTATTTATAGTTATACGATTTACCCCATGACACAGTAAAAAGATAAATAAGTATAGAATTTAGAAATAGCAGTCACAGGGTACACATGACCCCTTGCAGATTCTAAGCCAAGGGCCAGGTTTATCTTCATGCAAAGTTTTAGCTCAAATTGTTGGCATTTAGGGTGAAGCAGGAAATTTCTTTTAGGCTGAAGATAGTATGAAGAGGCCATGGAATAGAGTAGAAAGAGGAGGACTGGCAGCAGAGAAACCCGGATTCTATTCCCAGTTCTTCCAATAGCGAGCTGTGTGACCCTGGCAAGCACACGCACTTTCACTGACTCTATGTCCTCCATAAAGTAGGAAAGGAGCTGTGAGCCTTAGGTGCCCTTCCAGTTTAGAAAATGGCAGAAGTTCTAGTTCAGCCAACACAGTAACATTTAACTAGTTTACACCAATACAATGGTCTTTAACTCAGTACAATGCACAAGAACTGAAATTTCTTCAAGTCATCAAATATCCAGAGGAAAATGTAATTAAATACAAGATATTTGCCCTACAGAAGTGATTTGATTTAGCATTTTAAAATACAACATGAGAATATTTCCAACTTCAGTCACAAGCTATCTATGATAGTTACTTAAAACTAGGATACTATCTTGCTGTCCAGCTCTCAAGTTCTCTAAATCTCATTTTGCTTGTCAGGGAGGAGTCATCACCTATAAAATGATGTGATAATAACTACAAAGCCAACCAAAGACACTTATATATCCAAAATAAATAGTTTTAAATAGGAAGTTAAAAAACCCTTCTTTATTATTTTTAAGTAATTCTCTTAAATTTTTTTAAAATTTTTAAATTTTATTTCTCCCCATTCACAATCTCTAAATTCAACAACATTGCCTTGGTCAAAAGCTTAACAGGGTTGAATGATAATTCAAGAAGTGCTATTCTTCCCTTTACTATTACAGATTTCAATTCTGTCCTAAAAAAAAATCAATGTAATATAATGTATTTAGTCATATAAACAATTTTTAAAATACAGTGGATTTTGAGTGTCAGGATAAAGAAATTAATGCTAAAATGTTTTAAAAGCACATATTTCAATAATGTAGGCAACAATATAATCTTATTGTTGACATAATTACTATATTCACCTGAAGTTCCCCCTTCTTAATATATTAATTTGGCCCTGTATGTCTTTTTTTTATTAGTAAAATATATCAATCTTACTTTTAATGAGTTAGTATAAAGGTGGAGGATATAAACAAGTATATGCATGAACATTTTTGGAATAAAACAATCCTCACCTGTTTTTCTCATGAATCTTTAGAATTTCATTTGTCTGTTGAAGAAGTTGCTTCTCTAACTTGTATGTTGATAATGAATTCTCCAGCAGTTGTATTTCAAGCCGAGAAGTTTGATTTAGTACCTTAAGATAAAAGATAAAACCATTCAAACTTCAATCACAAATCTAAGAAAAGGGTTTTCTCATTTTGTTTTCTGATTCAAGAATGTCTTCAAGAATAGTAAAATGGTCTACATTGTGCTAATGCTTTTCATGTCTCTTACACATTACATTAGTGATAGTTGAATGAGAATATTGAGTCATTAAATCCATTATCATATTTCAACTTTTGTGTCCTGAAATCCTACTATTTTCTACTGTGCTAATTGCTCTACATATTTTATCTCCTATACTTACAAGTGCAAGTTGGATATTAGTACAAGGTTATGTATAACTTAGAATCGCCATAGGCAAGTAACATACACCTGCCTTGACTCAGCACCATAAAAAAAATCAGAAATGTAAAACCAAGTCTTGACATAGATTAAACAGATTCATAATTACACAGTGTTTATCACCTATTGTGTTTGGTCATTGCTGTTCAAGCTTTCCTATTCTTTACTAGACACAACCACCTGTTATTGTTACCACTTCACAAATGAGGAAACTCAGGTTCACAGAGTGATTCAAATTCTCATGAGAACCAAGGAAGAGCAGGATTTCCAATCCAGATAGGCTGACTCTTATTCTACCACTCTCCAGAGAAAATGAAGAGGATGGAACATCATTCCAGGTCTTAATATGTGGAGATGCAGTGACCAGGAGACCAGATTGTACTACAAACCGATTACTGCTACCCTCCAGAAACCGTAAGTATTTAAGAACTCTTAACCTGAAGACCCATGTTATGTTGTATGGTGGGCTTTATTATGACATGAGCCTATGAGCCATGCGTGTACCAGACCTATCATTCTCCCAGCAAAGATCACACAGTTCAGCCCTAGCAGATGACTTCCAATGCTATCAATGTCATGTCCCTGTCTACCTTCTCACTTTCCTCCTTTTCTTCTTTCAAAGAGGATGAAAGGGCAAGGGAGAGGGTAAATTAGTTTTAAAAGTCCCACTATTCAAAAACTCATAACTACCACAACTTACTTAGCGCTAATTGAGAGGCACCTGGGAAAACTTCTTGTAAAGTTAGTGTCGGGGTAAAGGGTCTACCTACAAAAATGACACTTTGAGGGTTTTCCTCCTATTCTGTTCAAAGTCTCAATATGGAATTTTATCAGATGCATGTAGAAAGCCTTTTCAAAATACACTGATATGACCAAGGCTGAGCTTGGGCCCCAGGAGGTTGGAGGGAAGGGAAATATAAGGGCAGAAACTGTGCTGAGGTGAGAGGCAATGTCTTTGGTTGCAAAATTTAAAGAGGAGTCAAAAATGCAGTAATCAAGATAATTATTTTAATGTGAAAATTTTTAAAAAATAGGGACAAGTGTTTGGCCTAGTGGTTAAGATGGTGGTTAAGACACCTGTGTCTCACATCAAAGTACCTGAATTCAATACCTAACTCCAGCTTCTGCTCCTAGGAGACAGCTGTGATGGCTCAAATACTTTGAGCTTCTGCCACTCTCATGGAGACCTGGTTTTAATACCAGCCCAGTCCCACTGTGGGTATATGGGGGGTGAACCAGTGAATGGGAGGTCTCTCTGTCTCTCAAATAAATAACTTAAAAAAATTAAAAGTAATGCCAAAAATTCACATTGAAGAAAAATCATTTTAAAATAAAGACAGTATTTGACCCAAAATATGTGTGGTTCAGTCTGACAAGATCTCATTTGCTTTGCCGAGTTCCTGCAATGTGTGAAATCAGGGATAGGACCAGGGCGGAGATGGGGCGGAGAACTATGAGATAAAGAGTTTGTAGCTCAAAAAAGTTTAAACTGTTATGATCCATTTACACTTGTCATTATTATGGACAGAAAGTTAATCTAAAATCTACTATTACTAATCCCATATTACATTTTGGGAGGGTATTATAGCTTTAAAAACTATTTCCCTATTCCATACCATTTTCTTTAAGGGAAGCTGTGATTTGAAGTTAGAATTAGGAGCAACTCACAAGTAAACAATGGTAGAGATTGTAAAAACTGGGAATGCACAGATAAAGCTTTCAACTACCAAACACATTTTCATGCAGGAAAGATTGTTGTTTGTTGAGTGGAGTTTTATAAAATAATGAAATAGGAAATTAAGCACTTGTACCTGTGAGTGACACTTAGAACAGTGCTTTGCACAGAGCAGACATTCATAGTGTGTGAATGACAGGTACACTGCCTAACTTAAGCATGTCATGTACACATAAATAAATTTAAAATACTCTCTGATCATAATTTCTGGCATCCTCAAACACCAAAAATTTCATTTTTTTTTTTGACAGGCAGAGTTAGACAGTGAGAGAAAGAGAGAGACAGAGAGAAAGGTCTTCCTTTTTCCGTTGGTTCACCGCCCAAGTGGCCGCTACTGCCGGTGCGTTGAGGCCGGTGCACTGCACTGATCCGAAGCCAGGAGCCAGGTGCTTCCTCCTGGTCTCCCATGCGGGTGCAGGGCCCAAGCACCTGGGCCATCCGCTACTGCACTCCCGGGCCACAGCAGAGAGCTGGACTGGAAGAGGAGCAACCCGACAGAATCCGGCGCCCCAGTCAGGACTAGAACCCTGGGTGCCGGCGCCGCCATCATTTGGTTTTTTAAGAACAGTAAATATCATTCTGTGAGTGAACAATCCAAAATTGTTCAAAAGTCTGGAAACCATTAAAGATTCAATCTCTTCTCTTCTCCTTTGTGCTACCTCCACTTCACATTCAGATAGACCAGAGTGATCTTTCCAAAAACACAAGTTGGGTTATGCCACCTCCTCTGTTAAACAGACCATGGAGGGGTAGGGGTACAGCACAGTGGTTAGTGGGTTAGCTTGGGATGCCTGCATCCTACCTCAGAGTCCTGGGTTTGAGTCCGGACTACCACACTTTCAATCCAGCTTCCATCTAATATGCACCCTGGGAAGCAGCCAGTGATGGCTCAAGTACTTGGGTCCCTGCCACCCACATGGGAAACCTGGATTGAATTCTGGGTACCTGGTGTCAGCCTGGCCAAGCTCTGACTGTTGCAGTCCTTTAGGGAATAAACCAGGCAATGGAAGATATCTGTCATATCCCTCTTTCTCTTTCTGCCAAATAAAATGAAAAAAGCGGATGACATTCCTGTTTTAGAATAAATTCCAGAGCCCTCAGCCTGCTTTACAAGGCTCTAAGCGATCAGGACCTGCTTCTTGGATCCCATTTCCTGCCACTCTCTTCCTTGTTTATTTTGCTTCAGCCACACAGCCTTCTTTGGGCCACCTCCACAAATTCATTTCCATCTCAGGGTCTTTGCACTTGAATTTTCCACTGACTGGAATGCCCATCCCTTCCCACATGATGGCTGATTTCTTTTCATCATTCAAATCTTGTTCAAAAGGGTCCTTTCTGGCCACCCTTAGTAAGTAGATCTCCCCTCACCCTCCAAACAGGTTACTCTGTTTTACTTTCCTTATGGAATCACCACTATCAGAAAGTATCCTATCTTTTTACTCATTTGCTAGACGTCTTTATGCCCCGCAATGTCAGTTGCACAGAGGTAGGGCTGCCCTTCCTGGAGCCAGAACCTCAGGACTGCAGCATTGGATGCAGCCTACTGGGATACTTAGAGCTTTATGCTGGATGCTTCAGTGACCACAGAGAGGGACATGTTTCTCAAGTTGGCTATGGTCACAGAGAGGGTAATAGGTCCATGGAAACATCAGGCTGGACTTCAATTACAACAGTCCAAGCTAAAAAGACAGCATCTGCACACAGGAGAAAGAGAGGGACCAATCTCAAAAGTTCAGGGTATCTGCCGGTCATCTCAGACAACTTTTACACACAAATGCCAATCCCTTCTCTTCTTTCCCCATCACCATAGCCCTATTGCTGCTTTATTTCAACACTTTTCACTGATGTATTAAAATAGGCCTAAAGCCCAAAAGTGGGCAACCTTGAGAATTGTACAGCAAAGTATGATAAATTGACCACTTTCTTGCCATGTGTCTATGGAACTCGATGCTTAGCAATAATCAAAGTGTTCCATTAAAATGACAAAAGACATTTCCTTCTTAGCCTAAACACATCCCAAAAGCACATCTCTGGGGGAAGAAAAAAAAGAAAAGAAACCAGTGAGGAGTCTATAGAACAAGCCCCTGAGGGACAAGTTCAAAGCTTAAATTTTCCAGACTATGTAAGAGTAAGGAAGATTCTCAAGACCCAACTTGAAGATTTATGGGCTATTAAATTTTACTTCTTTTAAAAATAAAATTTTCAAAATAAAAAGTATTAGTTTCCCAGAGAAAATGAGCTAGCACATTTCTGAGGCCTCTCCTAAAAAACTTTGAAGAGTGCCACTGATCTTCTTTAATACTAACTCTGAAAATAGGGTGAAGGTTGGGGTGGAATATAAGAACCACGGATGGAAGCCTCTTTTAACAGCATATTTTAATTTGAAATCTGCCCTGTTTAAAGGCTGCTTTTGTTTTCATTTTTTTCTTTACATTTGCACAAAAAAAGTAACAATATATAATGCCTTGGCAATATACATTTATGAAAGAATGAACATTAATACATTAATAAGGGATGAGAGAAAAATCTCCCTTTGTCAAAATCAATGCAGTAATTTCTTTGACAAGCAGTTTGATGAAATCTTATCTACAAGTTATTTATTAATTTCCAAGAGGAAAGTAAAACATTAGGCTAGAATGAGATATAGGCTACTACCCTAGCCAAATAAAACTTAGCATCACAGTGTAGCAATCTGATTTTTGATCCTGATGAGATGCAGATGAAGTGATTAGTTATTTTACAGTGTACTCCTACTGCAACATTCAATTCAACCAAACTGAGTCCTTATGCGTAACTTTCAATTAAAAAAAAAAAACTCCAAGGGATGTAAGAATAAATCAAATACCATGATAAGTAAATATTCAGAAAAATTCAGAATATGAAACAATTCACAAAACAATTACCCCAGTTTCACAAAAATGTCAATGTTAAGGAAAAAAGGCATTGAAACCTATTCTAAACTAAGAGAAATTATTAAACCCTGAAAAATAAAACATGGGCAGAACAATTGAGAAAATATAAATGTGAAAATTAATCTTAGAGAATTTTTGCTAATCTTAGTCATGATTTTGTTAATCATGACTTATTAGTACTATGTGCATATTATAATTATATACAATCAACATAACATTATAATAGCTTCATTATCTCTAAATATATTAGGTCTATGCTGTGTTTAAAATATAATCTCATTTGGTTACGGAGTTTAGTAGAGATAATAATTATATTACAGTCTAGATATTGGGAGTTGAAGTAACTTGCCCAACACAGCTAACAAGCAGTAGAGCCAAAATGGAACTCAAGCAGTCTATTTCCAGAGTCTCGGTTCTTTCCCACAGACTCTTGTAGCTATAAACAAGCAGCTTCCCCTGGCTAAGAAAGTTATGTGTCAAAGGAGTCCCTTGGCCCCCAACAGCAGTGCTAAATAGTCAGCCCCCAGGAGCAAGCTTAAGTATCCCTGCCACAGTGACTCATTGCCTGGAAGTGGCCACTGGGAACCGTGTTCTCTGTGCCAGCATAGTGTGGAATTTCAGAGAACAGCAGCTGGGGCCATTGGTCATTTACACTCCCCACCATAGGAGACTGGAAAGGTGCATTTTTATGGTTATGAGAAAATGCTTTATAGCTAAATAATTTGACAGAAAATTGAGGAGGAAATGACTTAGGAATGTTCTGCCACTCAAGAGAAGGACTGCTTTCATGTATTAATATATTCTATCCAGTACCTAGGAAAGCGTTTTATATCAAGGAAATACTCAAAATATATATATTTTTAATTTAAATTACATTTCTATTACCAGAGTTCCCCTCTAAATCATTGGAAACTTAGGAACAGTGTCTGAGGGACCTTCCTATAGCTAGCCCAGCTGGCCAGGGACAAGAAGAACACTACATCCTGGTGTCAGAGTCGACGTGACTGGTGCATGGTAGAACAGCAACAATAGGTGTCCCTTCCTTGATATGAGCAGGCTGGCAGCAGCATCTTCATTGAGAGGAGGGATTCAGTGACTGCGAATAGGTCCATATTACCCTTTGCTCGGATCCATGTATCATAACCACAGAGAGACGGGGAACCATGGAGAGAGGGGGCATAGACAGAGAGCTGACAAAGCTTGTGCACTTTCATGCCAGTCTTTAAAATCTTACTCTAACTTTCACTGGGACAAGTAAGTTCCCCTTTCTGTGTTTCAGTTCTTAGTATTGCTGTCCATTGTTTCAACACGATCTACTTTGTTGAGTTTTGTATTTTTATAATTACTAAATAGCTAACATGTAAAAATTATTAGAATGGGGATTAATACAGATTATTAGATTTGGTTTTAATGGTATTTATTTGCCTATTAGTTCCTCCCAAAATCTAAAATACATGAAAAATAAAATTATGCTACAGGAAGGGACATAAATGGTTTCTGAAACTATATTTTCCTATTGCACACTTAAAAAGAGGAATTTTAAGGAGAATAGATATTGGTACAACTGATAACAAAGTGAGAATAGCACTGCAAACCAATTGAGGAGGAAAATGCGAAGGGATCGGTTCTCGATTCTCACCGCCACGCCAGTAAGGTTATTTAGATGAATACATTACTTAGCTATTTTCTGATCATGAAGCTTATCAAGGCAAAGTGTATCTGAAAACGGCCTTGCAGGAAAACCATGACTCTACCACCTTTTGTTAGGCTGAAAGTCTAGAAATCCATAGAGCACTAGGAAGCAGTAAGTCACTTATGTTTACAACATTATCATGTGGAAGCTGGCTGTTAAAATGCATTGAAAAGTGATTTCCACATGTTCTTGAAGTAACTAAGGTTGCAAGGTTGGTCTTAGGGAAAGTGACACTAATGTGACGCCAAGTTAGATGAATATAGGAGCAAAATCTTGGGACTGTACCTGGACAGCACAGAAGGATCTATTGGCTTTTGAATGCTTATTGTGAATAAAGTGTATCGAGATTGAGGAACGATTTAGGATGCACCTTGTAAACTTATCCGTGCATCAGGACTTGTGCACTTGAATGATTTTATCTAACCAGAATACAACCTGTTGCAATAGTTCCACTAAGTCCCACCTATGTTTACATAAGAAAAGTCTGGAGTGTCATAGCTACAAATAGATGGACAATTGAGAGACATTAAAATGAAGATGAGGGATGGGAACCCAGCCTATAGTGCAAAACACCAGTTAGGATGTCTACACCGCATATTGGAGTACAAGGGTTCCATACCAGGCTCCATTCCCGACTCTTAAGGCAGATCCTGGGAAGCAGCAGTAATAGCTCAATATAGCTGGTTTCCTGCCACCCACATCGGAGACCTAGATAGAGTTCTTGGAACCTGACTTCCATCTTAGACCAGCCTGAGCCCAGCCACAGCTACTGTAAAGCATTTGGGGAGTGAACCAATAGATGGGAGTCATAGGTGTGTGTCTGACACTAAAATAGATCATTTTTAATATTACTTATTTGAAAGATAGTTACAGAGACAGAAGAGACAGAGCTTCATCCATGTATTACACATGAGTGCAGAGGCCCAAATACTTGGACAATCTTCTGTTTTCCCAGGCACATTAGCAGGGAAATTGATGGGAAGTGGAACAGTTGGGGCCCAAACTGGTACCAGTAGGCTGGCATTGCAGGCAGCAGCTTGACACCATCTGTACCACAATGCTGGACCCAACAAACTGATTTTTTAAAAGATGAAAATACCTATCAAGATGGGATGGCATTTTGAGCCATTATCTTTTTTCTACTTTCCTCTTGGTGTTGGTTCTGAAGGATATGTGATTCTTTAAGTTTTGCAGGTTTTAGTTATCTTAAAATTGTACTTGACATAGCTAAGAAAATTTCACTGGCCCTTTATGACAAATGTTAACTGCTCCACATAGGAAATGGTTATTATTTCTTTGAATTATTTTTGCTCTTTTCCATGATGTACTATCTCCTTGTCTTACAGATGCTAAACAAATTGTCTCTTAATACCTAAACACTTTGGAAATTAATATTCTAACAGTGGGATGCTTCCCCCAACTTCCAATTTCTAGATGGAAAGAATGCAAAAACAACCCAAGATAGGGGTATCTGTGGATAGAAAATAAAAAAAAAACCTTGATATGCAGTTTATAAAAGTTATCATAGCAGAAATGTATAAAATTTTCAAATATGTAATCACAATATAATATTAGTATGACTATTTTTGGCCATGAGAATATTTTGTAAGAAATGGGGAACATTCTATTCTAGGTAAGAGAAAATTCAGTCATGTAATATATACTGCAATACCTTCAGAGATCATCACTGTTACTTAGTGTGATGTCTTCTATTTTCAAGTGATAGTACATAGGGAATCAAGATAGGGAAAACTATGTTTAGTTAATATTAATACATAGCCAAAAAAAAAAAGGATTTCCCAAATTCCCTGTGATTTATTGCTCCAATCAATTTCATTTAATTATTTAATCTAATTAATCTCATCTAATTAGTTAAATATCAGTATTGCCAACCAAGGGTAAAGAAAAGGAAACATATGAGACAACTGGACTTTTGAGTACAAAATGTATTCATTATATCAATGTGAGAAATCAAAGTTTCTGACCTATCTGCTCTAAATAGTTTTCATAAAAACAATTTGTAATGGGAAAGTTGTCTGTGTTATATAAAATACTCTGTCCATATAAGTTTTTATTGCTATTTCTCTTTAAATAGCACATCATCTGGGATGTAACTAACATAAGTGCAATAAACTGGAAATGAAGCAGTACCTTATTTTTGAGTGTTTCAGTTTTGATTCTAGAAGTCAACTATATTAATAAGAATTATCTCATGAGTTTAAGAAGTGGAGTAAATTTTCCTTGCTCAAGAGATCATCTTCTCAAATGATGTTTACTATGTACATGACACGGTCATGGTGGGTTTGTGGCATGACAATTCAAGGCCATCTCAAAATTTTGCTGATTTAAATTCAAATAAGTATGTCATTGTACATCTACTAATAGGAGACACACACACACACACACACACACATTCCTGATCAGTTCATTTGGGGTTTTCCTTTCTATCTACTGATAGCACAAAACCCCTGCAGGTGCCATTTTTGGCTAGAATATCACCAGAGACAAAACAATACAGCTCAAAAGTGCATATCAAAGCCATTAATTTGACCCAAATGGTTATTTTATTTGACACATATCATATCACAGTTGGTAGCTGCAATGTTTATTTGAACTTAAACACTGATTAGGTCCTTTACCAGCTCTGTTTTTGCAAACACATTGAGAGCTAAATATACCAACCCTCATTAAATCAAAAGAAACATGCATAGCATGTCAGGCAGTCATTGTTGTTATTACTAATAAACAAAAATGTATATGTTTCCCCAATCTCAGTGCTGAAATGTGCTCTGTGTTTATGGAGTGAGCTAAAAGAAAAGGAAAAAAAAAAGTCTTTTTAGTTGAGTATGTGATTTGGCCCTGGGGCCCATACCTGGGTCTCAACATCTGTCAGTTTTCTGGTCTGCTCCGCTGTCTGAGACAGGAGGCTGGTTCCTATCTCAAGCATGGTGGCGGTGTGGTTCTGAACAGCATTCTGCTGTATCTGAGCCATCTCCGACTTCATGTTTTCCACGATGTAATTCTCAAGCTGCAAGAGATAAAGGACAAAGCATAGTACATTATAAGCAAAGCATCCCAGTTGGGGGATGTGATATTTACAATGACAAAACAAGACACAGCTGGCAAATCAGCCATCTGGCAGGGATCCTCTGCATCTCTGGGGGCTGGGGAAATGGGAGCAGAACACACAGGAATCCAGTTGTTAACAAATTCCTAATCTACTGAGCTGAGTACATGAAAGTCATCATCATACTCATGATGAAAATGTGCCCTCGAGTGATGCTTTCCTGTTGCCGACCCCATCTCATTTAACCCCCAGAGCACAGATGCTAGTGAAACACTCCCACATTCACACCCTTCTTTTTCTTTTACGGCTGAGGAGACAGAGAGGGGTGGTGATGAATTTAAGTCCCTCAGAGCGAACGCAGATTTTGCGCCATAATTTAAGTTGGAATCATGGTGCTCTGGTCTTTCCATTACACCACACTGACCACTCATCTCAGAAAAACTCAGTCTCCTAGTTCCATTTGTGTGGTGATAAATAAAACATATCATGTTGCATTGGGAAAACGGGACAAGGAATGGGAAAAGGGCAGATGCCCAAAATGAAAGCCTTTAAGGGAATATTAAAATATAGGCAATGACATAGGAAATGAGCTGTAGCGCCTGAGCGCTAGTTATAACCATTCTCCTTGCTATTTTGCAAGCTCAAAAATAGGCATTGAAAGTGCAGCTCATAAAGCAATGTTTGCCCTTCTCACCTTGGGTAACATTCAGTCCTTTATGGTGCCATCTTTGAGAACGCTAGGGTTGTAAAATGAATGGGACCAGAGGGGCTAAGAAGGATTATTGTGACTTAACGATGAAGGAGCCTGGTAGGCACCTGGGGGAAGGAAGCTGAGAAGAAGAAACCTGTGCCTCCCCAGCAGAATGCTTACTTCTCCCCCACCAATACGTGGTGACTGCATTTTATTACCCAATTACAAATAGGGGGAGATTGGAACCCGGAGGAGTCAGGTCCAAGGCCACACACCACAAAAACAGCCAGACTTGGACTTGAGTGCTGAAGTCCTTAACTCTCATACCAACACTTTTAACCACTTGACAGCTCTGCCAAGTCGTGCTTAGCAAGCTGGGTTCCAAATCATTAACAGCAACGTGATTGTTACTGATTTAGTGACCCATAATACATCCACTATTTTATAATCCACAGTAACATTATTAGCATGTAATAAATATCATCTAAATGTAAATTCCCCTTTGTGCAGCTTTGGCAGTTCACTTTCTAACATCATGCCTTGCTTATTTCAATGTATTAAGCATGAATGTGCCCCTAGCTAGCACAAATGAAAGGTTAGAATCAAACTCATACTGTTAATAAATCCTGAATTTTTTCTTGGTCAATATAAGGTAATTTTTTTTCATCCTTCATTCCGAAATTAGAAATAGGGAAAGAAAGCAAGTTGTAAAAGTTTATTAGAAAACAAATATAAAACTGAATAAAAACCTGAAAATTATCTTAAAATATAAGCTCTCTGGGCCACTTCTTGGCTTTGATCCCACTGAACACATTTAGACAAGATAAAGGGAGAGAATAAGAGGGCAGTTCAGAGTAGACGACATCCGTCATCTTGAATTCCTAATTACACACTCCGTCTGATGTTTCTTCTGGGAAATTGTTTTTTCCTTTAAGAGCAAATGCTTTTGGTAGAGTTTGCCTATCCCAGTTTCAGGAATGGAGATACAAGTTTTTTATAAGTTCTAGTGATTTAATTAATTGATTTTATTTGAAAGGTGGGACACACACACACACAAACTTTCATCTACTGGTTCACTTCCCCAGTGTCTGCAAAGGCCAGAACTGGGCCAGGCTGAAGCCAGAAGCCTAAAATTCATGCTGAATCTCTCAAACGTCTGGCAGAGACCCACACACTTAAAATATCACTTGCTGTCCATCAGAGTGCGTGTCAGCAGGAAGCTGGAATCCGTAGTGGAGCCAGGACTCGAACTCGGGCAATTCTGATATGGGACGCAAACCTCCCAAGTTATGTCTCAACCACAGCAGCAAATAGCCACCTTGAGAAGTGGGCACACATTTGAACCTGGTCAACCAGAATATTCTGCTCTTACTTAGCAAATAGGAATTCAAGAATGGAACTGTATTGGAAGCAAGTCCTTTGAGCCTCTGATCTGGAATTTTGTCAAACTAGTTTGCAAAAGAATGTCTCCTTCCTCTGTGATTAGTGACCTAGTAGCATATTTAGCTGAGACTATTGATACCCAATTTTGCCCCTACAAAACACATTCTAAAGACATCAATCTAGAAAAACAATGATAGGTAGATAGACTGACAGATACACAAAAGGTTTCTCCTTTTGATCACCTGGCTCCAGCCATGTTTTTAAGCAGAGCCACCCTTTTGTAAGTTGCATGATCTAATAATCTCCCATGGGCAGCCAACTTTTTTTAAATCTTCATATTGGGGGCCGGCACCACGGCTCACTAGGCTAATCCTCCGCCTAGCGGCGCCGGCACACCGGGTTCTAGTCCCGGTCGGGGCGCCGGATTCTGTCCCGGTTGCCCCTCTTCCAGGCCAGCTCTCTGCTGTGGCCAGGGAGTGCAGTGGAGGATGGCCCAGGTGCTTGGGCCCTGCACCCCATGGGAGACCAGGAGAAGCACCTGGCTCCTGGCTCCTGCCATCGGATCAGCGTGGTGCGCCGGCCGCAGCGGGCTGGCCGCGGCGGCCACTGGAGGGTGAACCAACGGCAAAGGAAGACCTTTCTCTCTGTCTCTCTCTCTCACTGTCCACTCTGCCTGTCAAAAAATTAAAAAAAAAAAATCTTCATATTGGTTTAGGGCTTTAACACGACAAGAAGAATTTTGACTATTAACATCAGTTAGATGTTTAGCAAAAGCAGCTTCATACAGGCAAGCATTATCCATATGTCCCTTGCTTGTCCAAGGAATATGGGCTCAATATGAAGATGTATATCCTTAAAAGTGTCAGGAAAGTCCCCTCTGTGAAGATGACACTTGTGGCATTCATCAACTGCCTACTGTGTGGCAGACATTGAGCTAAATGCATTCCTTTTTATAAGACAAAAACTCCTCACAACAGCTTTAAGCTCAGTGACTTTATGAGTTGTGGCTGTTTTATAGGTGAGGATACTGAGGCTTAGAAATCCCCAAACAACTTGCTTAGTAACAAGCAAGAACTCAAGTTCCAACTGCAAAACCCATATTCTTAATCTCTAACCTGTTTAGGCTGAATCCCTCCATGAATTTTATTGAATAGCTCCTCAACCTGCAGTGTTCATCAGAACTACGTGGGGAGGATATAAAATGCAGATGGAGGTACAACCTGCCAGAAACGTCAAGGGCATATACCAGGAAATTATGTATTTTAAAAGGTTTCCTAACATAATTCTGATTCGGGCAAAGCACCAGTGCTTTTCAGAGTGTGGTCCATAGAACAATCACCTGTAACAGAATGGTTTGTGAAGAGTCAGCCATAAGATGAGGCGCTTGATCCAGAGTAAATCATCTATGGCACTAAACACACTGTTTAGTTTACCTAACACACAGGAAACTTACTGGCATGTCAGATTCCCTGCTTACCAAGACATTTCAAATGACAATTTGTTATCTTACTCATATTTTTCTCCGGAGAATTCACTAATCAGTGAGCTCAGCTACTTATCTGTTTCGTGATTATACATCAGTATGTATGTAGCTAATTAGCCAGGATCCCTTCTCAGAGCTTGAAATACTCTAGGTTTAAGAACAATAATGCACCTTGGTTTTCATAGATGAAAACACCATCTGGCACAGAGTGGTTGCATCAAAGCTCAATTGCTTTTTCGTCCTTTCTATAGGTCAGATGTTAACCATTCTGTACTATTGTAATTTTTAAACATTAACACTAGCCAAGCAAAATAATTATCCCATGTAGAATTCATCACAAGCACAACAAGTCACCTCCTTCTGCTGACCCCATTGCAGAAATAAAGGAGCTCTCCAACCAGTACTAAAAATTTCATTTGGGCTGCTCTGATGAGTAGCATGAATCTAACTCTAGTCAATTATTTTTTAATCAAATGGGGCTGCTTTCTCTAGGGGTAACTGCCTTTTAATGCAAAAGGTAATGGCACACTTAAGTAGCAAGAACCAGATGTAGTTGATTTAAAGGCTGAGGAGGGAGGCAGGAGTCAAATATACAATGTGTGATTAATAAGGAAGACGGCTTTCATCTTATCTCTAAACATTCCTTTGTAGATGTAAAACTGTGAAATCCATCTTGATGTGCCATATCAGCCAGGTTCAGGAAAGATTTCTAAGAAATTTTATTGTCATCATGTATTCCCTACTGGTTTTAAAAATGTTTACAGAAAATGATGGCTACCTCAAGGTTCAGTATTTTATAATAGTCTAAGATAGGAGCTTTAAATGGAGAAGTAGCTGACCACAAGAGCTGATGCATTATGAAGTAGAAGTCTCCCAATCCAATGGGAAAATTACTTGACTGCACTGCCTCTCTCAGTGTCTGACTCCAGAGTTTTATAATGCAATCAGAAGATGATACAGGATGCAATCTGAAACAAGGAGATGAACATTAAATGATTTTTAAACTAGGAAATAGTGGTACATTTAGAAAGTGATTTAATGTGTACAGTTTTTATACATATTGTATAACTTGATCCTTTCATCAACTCAAAGTGGTGTATTCATTCCTTTTATAATTCAAGAAATGCAGGTCTTAGGCGACAAAAATCAAAACAAGGCCAGAAATCAAAGAATTTCCATTAGCTTCTGAAGGTTTTAAAAACTTCTGTTTTTGGATTGGTTAGCTGCTTGATAGACCAATTTTATTTTTAGTCAGCTTTTAATTATTCATTTACTTATTTCTTTAAGAAAAATATGTATCATTAGAAGTTGATGACTTTGACTTGGCTTCACCACATTGGCAGCCACATTAATTTGAGGTGAGATGAGGGGCCCTAGGGCTAGGTATGTGGAAAGTTTATTCTG